CCCCCCCCCCCCCCCCCCTTACCCCACCCACGCTTTGCCGCGCCGCGGCGTCACTGGCCAACATGTTGAAGCTTGGTATCTTGCTTCTCGGTGAGAACGATCGCGCGCTCACCACCGCGCAATCATTATTGTGATCGCCTTTTTCTGCTTTTTTTGCTCACTGCCAAAGGTCTGCCCACTGGATAGTCACGGGCTGCTTGGCGGCCGACGAGAGCTTACCCTACCTGGTGCAAACTGGCTTTTGCATTGATAACGACTACCCAGACGATTTTTACACCGCGTCCGGGCTGCTATACCTTCCGCCCGGCGCCTGTCAGCCGCTGCTAGAGGACTACGCCACATTCACGTGCCATAGCAATGGCTCCTTCACCGTGGACTTTTACGAGACCAGTGCCTGTACCGAGAGCCAGCATTCCGAGCTTGTCACTGACGGGTGCCTTGGACCGTATGAAATGACGTGCTCGGAGAAACTGCCGGACGATGTCGTGGCAACAGTCACCCTCTCTAGCGGCGGATGCGACGAGACCAACGTTTTTGCAACCACCCTAATGCGCACCAAGTGCAGCGAAACCATGTCGCTGGGCATGGTTTGGGAAGGAGCGCTCGTGTCGGACGGTTGTGAGTCTTCATCGTGTGAGACTCTGAGCAAGCTCTACCTCTTTAGTAAGGTGACGGCCATGTGTATCAAGAACAAGATGGTGCAGCTGACGGCGCATGCCGACAACTGTGAGCGGGTGAACTTTAATGTGCTCGCCCCGGTCGATGAATGCGTGTCGTTTGAGGCGCTGGCTTCCAGTAAGTTGACGCCGCCTCAGTGCCGCCTTGGTGCCGCCTTGGTGCCGCCTTGGTGCCGCCTCGACCGGCGCCTCACCTTGTGGTCTCCACCCAATAGACACCTCCCTTCAATACCTCAACGATTACTATGGTGACGACGAGGGTGTACTCTATGTGAAAGCCTCCTGCAATGGAGCAACGGTGCCGGGCTCGGCCCGTGGTGTCGCATGGGTTGTTGCAGCTTTGATCGCATCCCTTGTGAGCGTGGTTCTTTAAAGCGACCAACGGCGCACGAGCCGCAGGTGTCAGCTTGCTTTTGTTTTGTCTTGGCTGTACATGCACATGGTCATCCGTCCAACGAGCCGTCATCGTCGAGTGAAATGCCGCCAACGAGGCGCACAGGGCGCCGTTGCGGTCCTCAAGTTTTAGTTTTCTTCGCCTTGAATAATAAATTTACATGTTAGACGGATTTGATTATTTCCTTTTGGTGGCTGTGCGCGGCGGTCATACTAGAGCACAAGATGGTGGTCGCGCAGCTCGGGCCACAGCTGGCTTGAGAAGTGGGCGGGTCAATGTCGATGCCATTCCCGCTGCAAGCAAGGTGCAGCGGCGTATCGCTGTGCTTTTATGATTTTTTGGCACAATCGTTGTCAATCCCCATGTCATCGCTTGTCAGCAGCAGTCTTGGCTAGTCTTCCTGGAGACTCTCCTCCCTGTGCTTTGTCTGACATGACAGGTAATTTTGTCTGACATACGGACGAGCACGCGGGGGCGGTTCACGTGTGGTAGCGAGGCGGCAAGTTGCCGCTGCAACTGCGTAGTGAGATATACGTCACAGTTGACAGGTATTTGAAGTGTTACCAATCACACTTTGGATGAATCGCGCGAGCGGACATGGATGAATGCAAAATCAAGTTGTCAGACAGATCACACGGCCAAAATGACGCGCTCGCGTTTGGTGCAAAAAGAGGCGAGAACGCCACATTAAGCTGCACAAACTTTTCTCGAATCAAATGGGCCTATAACGTTGAGACTTCGTGCTGCTACATAAACCATTGTATATGAAACATAAACCCAACTATTGTCAGCCAATTTCTTGAACAAAAGAAACATTGTTTGCGCACATCACTGTTGTACATGTATGTGCATTGTCTGCGCGTCTCGTCTCTCTCTCTCTTTATGCCTTTGTTGTTGATGCTGTCTGTCACTTCTCACTATGTTTCTCTGTTTCTCTTTCTGTTTCCCTCTCTGTCTCTCTCTGTCTCTGTTTCCCTCTCTGTCTCTCTCTGTCTCTGTTTCCCTCTCTGTCTCCTCTCTCTCTGTCTCTCAACTCTCTCATCTCCTCTCTCTCTCTCTCAACTCTCTCATCTCCTCTCTCTCTCTCTCAACTCTCTCATCTCCTCTCTCTCTCTCAACTCTCTCATCTCCTCTCTCAACTCTCTCTCGTCTCTCTTGTCTCTTCTCTCTCTCTCTCTTTTTTTCCAACAAAAGTTGACAAGTCGTTCGTCCGTCCAGTCGGTCAATCGGTCGGTCAGTCGAATGGTCGAATGAGACTGTGCCGGTCATTGGGGGGGGGGTGGGGCGCAGAGCCCTGTGTGCTGTGCACTGCTTTGGTGGTGGTGCCTGCGTTTGGCTGGGTGTGGTGGCTTATGGCGTTGCTTGTCCCCGTTGCCGGTGTAGATGCGACCCGACCTTGCATGCATTTGTTTTCCTTGAGGGGACGTTTCCGACCTCGTTTCATCCCTGTGTGAGCCAGCGTCAAGGGGTACGTACCGCTGGGCTTTTGGGGGCAGTGCGGGCAGCCGTGGCAAGCCAAGCCTGGGTGGCGGTGTGCTGGGGCACGCTGTGAAGGGGTAGCAAGCTTTCTTAGTGCGGTGCTTGCACGAGGCGGCTCCTTGTTCTGGGATGCCGCTTAGAAGCGCGCGCACACGGCGTCACAAGCTTTGCTTCTGTGCAGCAGCAGCGCTCATGCCTGGGAAATGTTTGCTTTCGCCATGGATCCGATCTTGGTATTGTGCCTGACCCCTCGATGTTTATCGCTCGCTTTGCCTGCTGTTCTCGTGCAGCGTGAGTAGGCAGGTGGCTGCGGCCACCATTGGCCCATCGGGGCACCACTCGATTGCCATAGAATCAAAACTTGGGTCCCGCCGCTCTCAGTTGAACCCTCCAACTCGCTCGCGTGTGTGCCCGACCATCGATCCGGCTCGTCCGGGCCTGCTGCGCCTGCGTGCCACTTGTCAACAGAGGTCTGGAATGGCAGCTTCAGCGCCGGCATCACCGGGGACGCCCTCGCGGCGCCGCCTCCGCCGTAACCACTCGCAGCGCTCCAAGCAGGCCAAGCCTAGTCCCCCAGCACTTGCAACACCCCGTCTCTCCGATGTCCTCGCAACCGAGCAACCGTCCCAATACCAGCCCGCCAGTCTTATTCCTGCGGGCAAAGATGGATCGGACCTTGATAATAGCGCGGATGCTTCGCTCCCAGAGTCCAAGAGCATAACGCGGCGCCTAGCCTCCAGTTTCAAGCGTCGCTCGCGCCGTTCCCAAAAGTCACATTCCGATCCCTTTCCCCACGTGTATGGGTTTCACGTCGAAGGCAATACCCCCAACGTTCTCCGCCTTGGCTTGGAGAACGGAGCCCCCGCTTGGGTCTGCCAGGACGAGAATCACGGGCCGTTGTCAGTCATCGTCACGACCACCGACGTCGATGCCCTCAGTCACTTGGAGCTCGAGGCGCTCAAGGATTTCATGCGTCATCACGTGCAAGAGCTCTTCGATCACGACATTTCTGTCGAAGATCCTCAAGCCGCGCCAGGCCGCCATAGCTATGGCCGCCACGGCACCTTGCAAGCCTTTTTTCGGCACATTGTCGGCGGTGTTCGCAGTGGTTCAGACAGCTCCTCAGGTGACAGCTTTAGCCCCGGCCACCGCCGTCGAGGTTCCTCCACGCAACACAACGAGGCTGGCTATGTCACTGGCAAGCCCCTCGATAAGCTCATCAACGAGGATCGCCGCAAGCACGCGGACAGCCGTCTCGTCATGCCCCACTGCGTAACACAAATGATTCAATATCTTGCCGCCAACGGTATGTTTTGTTCTCCTTTGTATGATCGGTGTGTGTGTGTGTGTGTGTGTGTGTGTGTGTGTGCGCGCGCGCGTGTGAGGGGCTTTGAGGGCAAATGAAGCTTTACTCCCCTCGCGCATTACAGGCGTTCACGGCTCACCTGGCGTTCAACTGCTTTCTGCCCCCCATGTTTCACATATTGGTTGCCTCATTGCCAATAGGGCTGAAAAGCATCGGCCTTTTTCGCGTCAGCGGATCCACGCGCCGCGTTCATGAGATGGCACAGGCTTTGGATCGCGGCGAGGAGCTTGACTTTGCCAGCACCAACCCCATTGAGGTGGCCGCTCTCCTCAAATACTTTCTTCGTCTGCTTCCCGATCCATTGCTACCCACCCATCTCTACGCCCTCTTTACACGCGCATCGAGTCTCCCCGAGCTTCAGCAGCTGCAGGCGCTACAGGCAGCCTGCCTACTCCTACCTAACAGCCACCGTCGCCTCTTACGTGCCCTGCTCAACCTCCTGGACCTCGTTGCGCGCTCAGCCTCTGGTGACCATGGCAATCAAATGGATGCCACCAATCTGGCTGTGGTAATGGCACCCAACCTCTTGCAGGCCTCGACCGCGCCTCCCTCTCGCACGTCAAGCGTTGGAGATGCGGCCAGCCTTCGTGACGATGAGGCTGTGCGGGCCATGCAACTGCTCATCACGCACAATGACCGCCTCTTCCATGTTTCAGCCACCATGCGCGATGCTTGCCTGCAATTTCATCGCACTGCTTCACCGCAACTGGTGCACATCCTTCTCAAGGGCATGGTGGACCCCGTGAGCGCCTCTCGCACGTCCAGCGTGCATGGTCTTGGTCCCATGGCGAGCCTACGCCCCTCCAACCCCCCACGGCCCTCGAGTGCCCCACGGCCCTCGTCCTCTTCGCCACGTCCGTCATCCCCATTGACGCGGGCCAACTCTCCGGCTTCGCCCAGCGGTTCCACGTACCACCTGGGTGCTACGAGCCCCATCCCACCTCCGGATCGTCCTCGCTTGCAGTCGGCTGAATTTGCTGGGCTCGACACAGCTTCTTTAGCCAGTCTCGAGCGAGCATGGAATCAGGCCTTGCGGCAAGCGTCTCCGGATCCCCGCACTCGGGCCTACCGTTCCGTGTCTGCTCACACCAGTCCCGCACAGCGCCGTGCGTCGGCGGGACACACCAATGGAACTTGGGAGCCAATGGCACCGAACGACCGTTTCAGCAGTCGACGAAGCAGCTCTCAGCACGCACCTGGCACCCCGCCTTACACGCCGAGCCGCTATGCCCCAGTTGCGGATGCGCCTTCGCTGCACGTCTCGGAGGTGCTGGCCTCACCGGAGGGGGCGCCAATGACACCGGAACGCCATGCTCCTTCTCATCCAAGCACGCCCATGTCTGGACCCTCCGCTTCCGCCTTGGGCGTTCGCTTGGGCGGTACACCGGAGTTGGTTGTGGAGCGCTCCCAGTCGCTGGCAAGCCGCCCCACCTCCAGTCAATCCGGTGGCTCACGCCGCTCATCTGGGGGTGGAATGCCCCGTGCCAGATCCCACCACGATCGGCGTTCTCGTCCCCCCAGCTTCAAGCTCGACTCTGCTGGGGAGGGCCACGAGTGGCGGCCGCGGAGCCGCGAGGGTCTCACCCGCGGCCGCTCCTCTGGTGGCCTCGTCTTACAAAACAGCACCTTTGTGTAGCGATTTGGGCTGATCAGGAGTTTGATGTTGTTGATGGGTAGTTTCCGAGAGGTTTGAGCCTCGGGGCTTATCATCCTCTTCTCTCGACCGCGTATTGCGAGTTGTGTATATAGCCATGTAGTCAGACCGTTGACGCGACGCGATGTATTCGTGACTGGTCATGTTTATAGTTGGTCGATGCAGCAAGTGCCGTGTCGTCCGCTCCCAGATGACGTCGGCAGATTGCTCGCGCTTTTGCCATTTTTCCTTTGTATCTTTTCTTTCTCTTCCTTTTCTTCTCCTTTTTCCTCATGAATGCGCCGCGCCTACCACTTCTTGGAAGCGAATTGACCGATTGATTGGGTTGACGGAGATGCATGAAAACAACGCCAAACTCTTCTTGTCATTGGTGCATCATAGCCTCTTTGCTGACAAAGCGTGCTGCAGCTTGAACGGAATACGAGGCAACTACTCTCATCGATTATGGGGTGTCACGGGGGCACCGAGCAGGCAAGAGATGCTCTGGTTTGAATATGTGTGGGCATCAAAGCTAGACAGTACTGCTGGGTAGGGTGGAGGCGGTTGGTCGGGGGGAGCGCGGGGGGGAGAGAGGTGGTAAATCCCAGTCCAAGGTTTTGGCTTGGTCATGCAGTCGTGCCATATCCTCTGCGTGGCGGCTCAGGGTCGTTGCATGCTGGGCTACCACGGTCTGATAAAAATTGAAGGCAAACCACAGGAACACGGCTGAAACAGGCACCAGGACGGCGATAGCAGCCCATCCCGCTGTGGGGCTATGTGCAATAAACTGTCGCAGCCACACGGCATTCCCAAACAAGAACAAGAGCGTGAGTGGAGGTGCGAATGAGCTGTGGCAGGGGAAGAAATTGCACAAGATGAAGAAGAGGGTACCCAAGGAAACTAAAACAAGTAACCAACAAACCCTACCCGCTCCCCCGCTCCCCCCCACCCCCCTCCAAACAAAACCCCAGCAACGTGCGGTGGATTGCTGTTTTTAATCTCGCACTATTTGATCAAGACAGAACAGGGGTACGACGTCAGGAGCGCTGCCACGAACTTTGAGATGGGCCAGTACAGCAAGGTCGAGAAGAAAGAGGACAATGCCCAAGCCCGTGGCAAAAATCCAGGCCGCCTCAATGTAGCGCAAAAAGGGCATCTCATCTTCCAGGTTCAGTTCCATTTCGTTGGATGGGTCCAGGCCTGATGGAGCGGTGTCATCTGGACGACGAATGCCGGCCTCGGATCCACTCAGGCCCCACGCAGCGTCGGAGAAATCCAGGCCACCATCGGCGACCAATGGTTCCAGGCCATCATATTGTGTGGCGCTGCTTCGGCGGCTCTGGCTATCAAGACCATCAGTCGTGTTGCGGGTGGGGAGCTGAAGGTGAACGCCATCAGCAGAGGTTTCGGGCGCTGCGCGCGAGCTGTGGCCACGCTGGCGCATGGTGGCCCGTGTGCCGTGTGCCCAGCCAGGGCTGGGGCTTGGGCTGGGACAAGGACTCGCCTCGTTCAGGTCCTGATCAACAATCGAGGGCAAGCGCGGGCGCGGTCGAGTAATCTGGTCCCGGGTGGCTCGTTGGGCCTCCTTGTGCAGGCGGCGGCGCTCGATGCGCTCGTCCAGGTAGGGTAGGATGCAGGTGGAGACCATGAGGGCAAAGAGATGGACGGAAATGAGGAGTGTGGTGATGATCGCAAAGGCAATGATGCCCGGGTCATCGTCGTATTTGTCAATGTCCGTCTGTCCCGTCGGAAGGTCGAGCTCGACCATGGCTACCAGGGCAAAACCGGAGAGCAGGGCTGAGGTTTGCGACGCCTGTTTCAGCTTGGCGTGAAGCAGAAAGTCGCGCATCTCAGCCATCTCGCTGGTGCCGCAAAACCGCTCCGGATGGACAAGCGCGTGCGAGCGAGCGGGCGTGCGCGCGTTTCGCGGAAAAGCTGAGCACCCGTTTTGCAGGTGCAGAGAGCCTGCCGGGGTACAGTGTACATGCAGGCGCTATGCGGAACGTGGCTGGCCCCTCGACTGGCCGAGCGTACCAGCGCGGGCAGTCAGCACGGCACGGCACAGCACGACAGAGCCCGTCGCCAGCACGACCACAGCTACGACAAGTACGACACGAGTGAGGGGGATGTGAAATTGAGAACGCGAATGAAGTGACCATATGATGATCAGTGGTCGAATTGCTGCATGCATGCATTGTGGGCGACCGATTCGCACGAGCTCGGCGCTCTTGAGCCTTGAGCTGCTGCGGCAGTGTGTATCGAGTTTGCTGGGTTGCTGTCCTGGGGTGGGATGGAGCGGTGCTGCCACCGCATCTTTAGTCGCTGCTGTACCCTCGGAAGGTGGAGGCACCGGAAACTCCAGACACCAGGCAACAACAGATTTGGACTCAAGGTTCAGGAGCCGGGGCCAGGAACTCCTGAAACCATCATGCTCTCGCAACTTGTGACAGAACATGAACACCCTGCCCGAATCGGAGTCATGCTTTCGAGGGTCAAGTGTTGAGCGTTACACAAGCCACCCGCAGGGGCCGGCAGGCGGTGAGCTCGTCAAGGACACAAGAGCAGAGCAAGAGTCTCGTGCTTGACTGTTGCTAATCGCGGCCTGATGGCGCTTGCCCCCGTCCTCGTCTTTGAAAATGCTGCCGCTGTGTACGACTCGTTTCAGCATCACTCTTAAACTCTGCGTCCTCCGCATGCAAAGGCTCCACGACCTGATCCCGAGCCGAGCGTTGCCGACGCAGTCGCTCGCCCATGAGACCACCGTCTGCACCGTAACTCGCGCTTCTCATTCGTTATTTTTTCGGGACAAAAACACTTCTGTTGCTGGTCACCAGGCTTGCCCATGTTCCTGCTCTTGCCTGCCATGTCCTCGACGAGTTTCTTGCCTTCTCTCGCGTTGACTCCATCGGGGACGTAGGCAATGCAACTCTTGCTAGTTCAGGTGGGGACATGGGTAAACGCCGGCACCCACATGAGCAGCGTCGTACACGCCTCGCATAAATGCCCAGCTTCTCCTTCCCATGACCCCGTGCTTTGTCTCTGCCAATGTCCCTTGCGGCCATGCCGCATGAGCGTGCATGCAAAAACTGCCCACCGAGCCAAAATCTTGCTTCCCCAACACACATGGCGCAGCTGCGTTTTGGCTCAAGACGTTCGCAATAGGACTTTGCATTTCCCAGGCGCCCCACAGCCTTGCCTGGCCCTTTCCACCTTGATGCATGTTCTCGCGCCGCCTTGGCTGTTGGGGATTGCGGCTGCAGGCCCCCCTGTCGTGGGCGGGGTCATGCGTAAACCCGAGCCACCCACGCAGGTGGTGTGCAGCTGATTCAGGCAACAATGATATTGCTCTCGTTCCCAACCTGAGCCCAGGTTTACACGGGGCAAGAATGGACCGGGGCCTGCAACTGCTGTCTCTGCATTGACCAGCCGCCGCTCAGAGGGCCGTGTATCCGGGGATCGATCGTCGCTGAGCGACATTTTCCTTCCCACGCATTCCCGGAGCACGAGCCCAGCCTCTCCACTTTTCTTCCTTCCCCCTTCAGCACAGCGCAACTGCAAAGCGCACAGCGGACGACCAGAACGCCTTGTCGCTCACGAGACGCAGCTTTGTCCTTGCTCGTCCACTCACCCACGATCATGCAAGGGTCTACCAGCATCATGCTGGTAGCCGTGGTCCTGGCGAGCCTACTCGCGTCAGCCTCTGCCACCGACGTAAGTTTGACACGCACCGAGGCCGATGTGGCCTTTGAGATTGAACTTTTTGTTAAATTTGTTCTCCGTCTTTTTGCGTACAACTTACGCCATCCTTCGTTGCCCTGTTCTGGCTGTGACAGTGCTTGCACGAGGGCTCGATGCAGATTGCCGAGCTCGAATTTACCTATGGCTCTTTCACCCAAATGGCCTTTGGTACGTGCAGCCTGGGAGAGCTTTGTTGTGTTTCTGGATTGCCAGCCAACATTGCACCTCGGCGCGGCGCGGCAGCAACAGGGTTGGAACCCCACCGTGCATGCGTGTGTCTCACATGTGTGACCCCCTTTCCTTCCGTCCTGTAGGCAACTTGGAAGAAGAAGCCGAAGACCTGACAGGCCACAGTGCCAGCGTGACTCAATTGCGTCGCTTCTCCACGGCCTTTACCACTGATGCCATTATCGCCAGCTACTCTGGCCAGAATCCTGCCACGTGTGCCTGCGTCTGCGAGGAAACCTCTGGCTGCAATGGCTTTTTCTATTACTTTAACGCTAACAACGTGGCCAGTTGCAACCTGCTGCGCGACACGGGTTCGCTTGTCGCCACCAACTTGCACTGTGTGTCGTACGGACGCGCGTCGCGCCCCGTGACAACGACTCAGCGCCCCGTGACGACGACCGTCCAGCGCCCCGTTACAACAACCCAGCGCCCGGTGACCACGGCCACCACGACCACCACGCCCAGCATCGACTTCACCCCCGGCGACCTCGACTGTTTTGAGATGGTGTTTACTGCCAACATTCCGGGTCAGACCGAAGACAGCCTCTGTTTTGACTCGTCCTTCTCCCAGGCCGATGCGTCCCGCGTCATTTCCGATGTCAGCCTCGAGCGCTGCGGCGAGATTTGTTACGCCGATGCGTCTTGCGTGGGATTTTTCTATGGCCTTCAGGAGAATTCGGTGGCCGATTATGAGTGTCGCCTGGTCGATGACATTGGCGATGTAGCAGGCATTCCAACCGACTTGTTTGGTGCGTCGTACGCCTTGAGCTGCGAGCGCACCACAACTGCTCGTCCCACCACAACAAAGTCGACTACCACCACGACCACCACTACTACCACCACTACTACCACCACCACGACCACTACCACCACTACCACGACCACGACCACCACGACCACTACCACAACGACAACCACATTTGACATTGACCTCACCCCCATCGACGTGGATTGCTTCGAGATTGTCTTCACCGCCAACGTGCCCGGTTACGAGAACGACGGCATGTGCTTCGACACGGCCTTCTCCCAGACCGACGCGGCGCGAATCATCGAGGGTCTTAGCCTTTCCGAGTGTGCCACCACCTGTCGCCACGACGCCACGTGTGCTGGCTTCTTTTATGGCTTGAAAGAGAACACTGAGGATGTGTATCAGTGCCGCCTTGTTCAGAGCATGGGTGATACGGGCGTGATCACCGATGCAGTGGGTATTTCGTACATGTACACCTGCCCACGCACCACGACGACCACGACGACCACCACAACAACCACGACGACCACCACAACGACCACGACGACCACCAAGCGCATCTTGACGACGCGCCAGATCAGCATCATCCCTACCCCGTTGCCGTGCCACGATTTGCTTTTTACCGGTGCCATCCTCGATACCCCCCACACGGCTGATCTGCGCGTGAGCACCGCGTTTTTGGAGAGCGAGATTCTCTTCCGCCTGGAACTGCCTGACCTCGCCACCTGCGCCGACCGCTGCAGCGACATTGGTCAGATCTGCCGAGCTTTCTTCTTTTACGAGAATAAAGCCAATGGCAAGTTTATGTGTCACCTGCTTCGCTCATCTGGCACGGATGCCGGCGTGTCGACATCCCTCAACAGCGTCTCGTACATCAAGACGTGCCTCTCGAGCACGTCCACCTCCACCTCCACCAGCTCGTCCCCGACAACTGCCACGTCGACAAGCACCAGCACCAGCACCGAGGCCCTCGACCTCTGCCCCATGTACATGGACTGCTTTGATCTGATCTACACGGGTGACATTGTGGACGGCATTGAGGACATGGAGGTGCGCTTCTCCACGGCCTTTGATGATCATGCCATTCTACACACCTTCTTTGACCTGAGCCTGCACGAGTGCGCCACCCATTGTCGCGAGATGGGTAACATGTGCCACGGCATTTTCTACTATGTGGCACCCGGTAATCGCTATGCGTGCAACCTGTTGAACGACGTCGGCAACGACTCTGGCGTAAGCACCGATCTGGCATCGCTGAGCTACCGCCACACGTGTCTTTCCTCGACCTCGACCTCAACTTCCACTTCCACTTCCATCAGCACCTCATCGAGCACGAGCAGCTCCGAGTACATTCCTGACATGGTGCCCGTGGTCATCGACTGCTACAGCCTGATCTTCACCGGTACTGCGCTCCTCGGACCCGAGGATGCTCCTTACCGCTTCAGCACGGCCTTTCGCAGCACGGCCTTGATCGAGCAGATTCGCGACATCTCCATTCCCGAGTGCGCCGAGGCCTGCAAGGATCTCGGTCATCATTGCAAGGGTTTCTTTTACTACCGTCTCCCCGATATGAGCTACCGCTGCCGCCTTTTGGATGACATTGGCACCCCGGAGGGCGTTTCCACAACCGAGCAAGGCTTTTCTTACATGGCGCAGTGCCTGAGCTCCACGTCCACGTCCACATCTTCCTCATCCTCCTCGTCTTCCTCTTCGTCCTCCTCCACCAGCTCGTCGACCTCGACCTCGACCTCGACCTCGACGTCAACCAGCACCCCCTATCCCATCCCCGAGCTCAACTTTGATTGCTTTGATCTCACCTTTGCCGGTGATGTCAACTACAACATGCATGGCCATCGCCGCTTTTCGACGGCCTACAGCGACGACGCGATTATCGACAAGGAGCGCTTCGTGTCTCTGCAGGAGTGTGCCGATATGTGCCTGGACATTAACGAGTGCGTGGCCTTTTACTTCTGGACGGCGAACGACGACCAGCAATCACGCTGCCACCTTCTGAACGATGCTGGCACGTTTGAGGGCACCGAAACGATGGATCGCAGTGTGAGCTACTACAAGACGTGTCGACCCGTCATTGCCCGCCCGACCGAGTGCATCGAGATTGTGGACGAGTATGATCTGGCTTGCGTCGGAGCTGTCGCTGGTAATTTGCACCCGGGTGTTCTGGCGGTTGACCCGAACGGCGAGCATTACCTGGCCTGTGAAAGTGGCAACCTCTCGGCAGGCCGCTGCGCCGGCCGTTGCGACACCATCTGGGGCTGCACTGCCTTCACCTACCAGTATGATGAGGCCCTCGATGAGTGGGCATGTACCTACTTCAGCGCCGTTCTGGACACGGTCATGTGCAACGAAACAGACCATTACGTGCTGTCTTACACGCGCAGTGACTCGCATTCAGGTCCTTTGATGCCGACACTCACGCCCACCACGGATCATCCAACCGCTTCGGATGACGACGCCGACGATGACGATGATGATGCTACCACGGCCGCCGCCGGTGGCATTGGCAATGCCCCGCAATTGATTGAGCAGTGCAGCTTGACCTTTGTTGGCGACGTTGACGGTTCAGGCAACCCCGCGGCGCGCCGCTTTTCGTCGGCCTATGACGATGACAGCACGCTGCGCGTGCTTGACGGACTGACCATGAGTGGCTGCGCAGAGGCATGCGAGTTGTTCGGTGCCGCATGCAAGGGCTTTTTCTTTTGGGAAGCTCGCACTGGAGATGTGGGCATGAAGTGTCATTTGCTCAGCGAGCTGGGCACTTCGACCGGCGCCAAGACCAGCTCTGTCAGCGTTTCTTATACTTGCGCGTCGTACACCTACCAACTGGACTTTGATACGGCCGTCACTGCTCGCCGATACACGACTGCGTTTGACTCTGCCGCCGTATTGGACAAGGAAACAAGCACGAGCGTGACTCAGTGCATGGACGCTTGTGATATGGAGCTCGACTGCGCGGGCTTCTTCCTCTGGCACACATCCTCTGGCATGCGCTGCAACCTCCTGAGCGACTTGGGTCTCTCGGTGGGAGCCTCGACCAGTCTCACGGGTAGCTCGTACGCCAAGGTTATGGATCGTCGTCGCTCCGCCGTCGAGCAGGGCCAATCGTATGCCCATCCCATGTCACAGGCCAGTCGCGGCTCCAGCACTGGAGTGGTGGCTGTTGTGCTGGCTGTGGCCCTCAGCGTCATGTTGGTGGGTGGCATGGCTGTTGTGGTTGTCCGCCGCCGAACGACCACGCCTCCCATCTTGGGTTAAGGACTGGCCCATCCATTTGGTCCGTTGAATGATGGGGGCGGCACTTGACCTAAACTTCTCTTCCCTTGATGCCGTGCATTGAGCATCGCCGTGCGATTCTTGTTTAAATTATCGCGGTCCCGCCCCTTCGCCATGTTTCGCGTTGTTGTATTCTGTGTGGTCTTGTATTCTTGTTCTATAGCCCCTTTCCCTCTTGTGCCATGCACACCATGTGCTTTTACCGTGTGTTTCAGCTGCAGTGTCAACCAGCCGTGCATGCGCTCCCCAGCGTGCTTGGCCCGTGCGTCTTTTTGAGGTTGCGGTCTGATCTGCTCCTCGTGCGACCCTTGCGCCAATCAGCCTCAGGGTAGAGCGCGTGTGCGTTGCCTGTGTACCATTTCCCGCTGCTCCGCCGTTGTCATTGATTTGTTCCCATCTTGTATCCTTGACCATCCTTTCGTGAGAGACGAGAGGTTCAATCGACACCCAGTCACCACACTTTCCTTTCTGCCCTCTCACAGCCTCCAGGATCAAAACCAAGTCCATAAGTCACACACACACACACACACACACACACTTTCTCTGCTAAAATCTGAAAATAACGAAACCTCTTGTATATTAATTTTTATACCAACTATCAGATCCTCGTGTTCAAACGCTCACACACACACACACACACACACACACACACACACACTTTCCGGACCACAAGACCGGCTCGACGTCGGCCGTGAGACTGCTCTGCCTCCCGCTCACCTCTTTGCATCGCGCGCGCGTGTGGGCGGTGGGTGTTGCAGGTAGCCCGTTCATGCTGGTCCATCAAGCCAAAAAATCGAGCTCGCACTTTTTTGCCACTCAAAGACTCTTCATTTTGGCGGGAAAGAGAGAGAGGGAGAGCAAAAACCCCTTCGTCCTTGTGAACCAAGGTCATGGCGCTGCTCGCCAAGCAGCTTTTTGATGCCAAACGGCCCTGGGCTGAGCGAACTGCATTGGCCCAAGAACTGCTTGACCGTGCCGAGGACACCTTTCGTCAAATTGTTTGGAAGTGGATGCAGAGCGTTGCGTCAAGCAAGTAGGTTCCACATGCTGTCACCTGTTTGTGCCAATGGGTCAAATCTCGTCGCTCATGGCTCGGCTGTTAATGGTGCAGGCAAGAGGCCGGCCAGACGTTGGATTCAAGCTATCTAGGCTTCCTGGAGACTTTCTTGCACAGTTCCAATGATGCCATTCGGGTTGCGGCGCATCAGGTTGGCTGAGTGATGACGACCCATCGTCTGTGTCGCCTCCTGTTCCCAGCCATGTCCATCAAAATCTCACGTTTGGTTGTGTGGTCCTCAGTCTGTGCTTGCCGTCGTGGCACGGCTGGCTGACCCAAAGGGCTCCAAAAGTTACACTCCTGAGAGTGTGACAGCCGTGCTACGCTGCGTGCAGTTGGCAGCGCCGGCTCACATCTGGACCGTTGCCGACTATCAGAAGCTTTTGCCCGCCTTTGCCTTGTGGTTCTACCAGCGGCACCGCGTTGAGGACGCATCTTTACCATCTGACGACCTGCCCCCACCCGAAACCGATCTGTCCTCGGATCCCCGCGGCTTGACGCTGCAAGGCGAAGCGGAGCTTGTGGTTCTGCTGCAGCAATACGGGGCTCTGCTCGCGCAGCTCGATCCATCTCGCGCTCAGTTCGAGACCAACCTGTCGCTCCTCCCCGAGCTACTGGGTCTCTGTGCGTGCCCACTCGCCAGTTACACGCGCGTGGCCCTTCAGCGCGTTTTGGCCGCCAGTTACGGTCGTGCCTATCACCTGTCCGATGCTACATATGCCACGGTTCAGGTGTGGCTTCGTGAGGAATCTTTGGACACCAAGATTGATCTTGGCCTGCTGCGACCCCTCGCCCACGGCCTGCACAAGGCCTTGGGCAATCCCAACCCAGACGTGCGGCCGGGATTGCCCTACCTCTTGCGCTGTCTGCTGGTCGAAACACCGGCACCCAGTGCCATGCTTCTGTACTTCTTGTTCCTCCACCTCGCCACCCAACACGGTCTAGCCCTCAGCTCGACGCCCGTGGCTTCCACCCCCAACACCCCAGAGAATGGGCAGCCCAAGAAAAAACGAACCAAACGCGCCACTTCCTCCGTGTCCTCCGCCCCGACCGTGGGTGACCCGGCTTTGTGGCACAGCATGGCCGACTGTACCGCGGAGCTGGCTCGGGCGGGTGCCTACGACGAAGGTCAGGATCTGGTGCACGACGGGCACCTGGCTAGCCGGCTGCAAGACATTTTTCGGCACTGCTTGCGCGTGACTCAGGCGTTTGCCTCCTCGTCGGCCAAGGCCGGGATTGCTCATTTCCTTGAAACGCTTCTTCGTGTTCACCACAAGTTCTGTCCTGACGACGCCTTGAGCGGATACTTTGGCTTTCTGGCTGAGCAGGAAGATGCCAATGTTACGCGACAGGGGGTCGATCTTCTTGTCCAGACGCATGTCCGCATTCAACAGCTGGAGCAGCTGGTCAAAGCCCTCCTGCCTCGGCTGACCCCGCACACGAGCACGGCCGAGAATCTTTTGTCTTGCGTGACCAGCAGTATGCAGGCTCATTTACCCACCGCCCCGCCTGCCGTGACTGGTCGTCTCTTGCGGGCCGCCACGGCCGCCGTTCTGGCTGTGCATCCCATCAGCACGCTGGCGCTACAGCTTTGGTGCGCCATCGCTGATAACCTGATCGTCACACCTCACTACTTTGAGGAGGTGGCCCCGCTTTTGACTGGTGGTCTCCAACAGCTCGGCGCACAATACGCTGGCCAACCGCGCGTCTTGCACCGGGCCCAACGCCGGGCACAAGCCTTCGTGCATCGGTTTGCCGAGGTAGCGGGAACCGATTTCGGGGAAGCTGCGCTGGTTGACAGCAGCGCTGACGTGCCTGTGGGCCACGACAAGGATCTGCAAGTTCAGCTGGACAATGAGTCGATTGCAGCGGGGACACAAACAGATCTTGGGCCCGCCGCTTGGCTGAGCGAAGATGCCTTTGAAGACGCTGCTGCCCATCCAGCTTTGGCGGCCCGTGTGAGTACCCAGCTTTTTGCTTGGTTGGCTCAAATGAAGGCGGCGCCTGCACAGGGATTGGATTTGGAGCACGCATGTCAGGTTGGTCACTCGCTGGGCTGCTAGGGGTTGTTGTTGGTGGCATGAGCAATGATGTTTTTTTTTTTTTTTTTTTTTTTTTCCTTTCTTTTTCTCCCATCAGTCTGACAAAACTTGCCCTGTTGCAACTGGGACGACATGCAGGTCACGGTCGAGTCGGCACGACAAGGCGCTGTCCCAGCAGAGCTTCCGTTGTTCATCGAGCGTCTGGCTCAGATGCCCTTGCGGTTTGCCGATCTACGGGACATCGTGGACATGGTCCCTGCCCTTGTGGCTGTCCTGGGCGCCACCTGGTACTGCGCGACCGACACAGCGCTCATGGTTTTGGACATGCTGGCTGCATTGCTGGCTGATCCCATCAAGCGCATGCCCAACAAAGCCCATGATCAGCTTGTCACGCGCGTCGTGCAACGGATCTGTCGTCTGGACATGGACGTGCTCACCACTCCAACTCAGTATCGAGCAGTTGCGTGTTTGCTCGCTGCCGCCCATCAGGGCCAAGCGGACGAGGTTTGTCATGTCCATCCAGCACCCGATCGTGGACACAATTCCGGATGCCGTTTATCCATCGTTGATTGCTCAAGCCACCCGACCGCTTGCTCTGCCGCGCGTAGCTACCAGCAGCTTGGCGCAAACACTTGAAGCGTCATCTAGAAGCTGGTGTAGCCTTTGTTGATGCCTATCTGAGCGTCAATCCAAAAGCGTGGCCAGCCGTGCTTGCGTTGGCGCAGCGCCACCTCGAGCGCTTTGCAGAGCCGACCCTGGGTATGTTGCGATCCAAGCTGCTGATTCGATTCGGGGCTGCGCGATCTTGGCAGGATGAGTGAGGGTTCCAAGGCTGCTTGTGCTGGTGTTGTTTGTTATGTTAACTGACGCGTTTACTCGTTTGTGGTGCGCTAGATACCCCGACGCAAGTGGCGTTGGGTCGCATTTCCAATGCCTTGCTGGCACAAGGACAACACACTTGCCCACCATTGGTCACGTGTTTGGAGCGCTTGCGTGTCACACGCGATAGCGATGAAGTGGCTGTTCTGGTGGAGCACGTGCAACAGCGCACGGCCGAGCTGCCGGCGTTGGCCAACTGGCAAGACTTGTTAGTTTGTGCACTTGTTGCCGATTTTGGCCCTTCCGAATGGAATGCCAATGGGTCTGCAGCGGCACGGCATGCTTTGTGGGCTACCTGCATTCTGCATCCCACCACTTCCTCTTGGGCTTTGGGCTGTTTACTCGCTGTGAAAAAGACCACACCTACAGAGGCCCAGGCGCTGGCGGCACTTGAAGTGCTGCAGCTTGTCGGCAATCAGGCCCGAACGGGCGGAGAGATGCGTCTGGCCCGCCGCCTGTTCCCCGTCACTTGCACGCTGGCAGCCCACTTGGCCAGCCAACACCCAACTCCGTCTATTTGGGCCGGTGTCCTAAGCACCCTGGCGGCTCTTTTGAACGTGGGATCCACCCGCATTGCACCTGCTGCAGCGCTACGTGCCTTGGCTCTGGCCTGCACCTGCTCACAGGATGGGAGTCGGGACCCTCAAATTGGTTGCCAGCTCGTAACGGCCCGCGATCACTTTTTGTCGCGCATGATGGTTCAGTCCCGGGTTGTATTGGAAAGTGCGACAGCGTCCTTGCTTCATCTGATTCGGGCCCAGCTACGCGAGTATGTTTTTGTGGATGTTGTCCATCTGAGCAGCAGCCCGACTCGATGGCTTGGCACATTTTTGTTTCCGTGTTTGGGCTTTGGTTCAACGTGTTCTCATTTTGATCCTCATATTGAACCTCGTGGGCGCTATTTAGTGCATTTGCTGTGGCGCGCCGGAATCACGGGCTGGCCGAGCAACACCATCTGATTCAGCGGGTGTCAAAGGAGCTTGAGTTGTTTACGCAGAGCAAGCTGGTGGCTGGTGCGTGCGTGCGAGTTGTTTTTTATTTTTGAGCTTCTCGGCTTGTCTCTGATTTTCTCATCCTGACGCAAACACCATCGTTTCATATCAACAGGCAAGCACGCCTCTTTTTTGGTTGTGAGCTGCATCACCATCTTGGGTGAAGCACACGCGCTGCATCCTTCCAGCCGCAAGCACCTGCATCCCGGTATGGTGGCACCTCCTGCGACGAAACCAGCGTTTGCTCTGGACTCTTTCTGATATCACAATTTTGGCTTACTTCGGCGTGCTTTAGGGCTATTCAAGCTCATGGCCTTGGTCAACGAGTCAGAGAAGAACCTCGTCTTTACGCTCTTGCCAAAACACGTGCGTCAAGTGTTTAAGCAGCTCATGGAGGCCAGCCAGGCCCAGGCCTTCCGAGGCTCCGTTTAAATTAGTCCTATTGGGTTGCTGATTGAGTCGTCGTGGCGACTTTGATATGTTTGCGTGGAGCGCTGAGCGTTCTGCAACGGCAAATTGAAGCCCCTCTCAAGATCATCAACGCAAGCACAAAAGTAAAACCATTAAGTTTGAGATGAGATTGCGAGGAGAGCATCAGAAAGGGGATGAACAGGCAATCTCCGAGTCGCGTGGTGCAGCAGTCTTGATGAAGAGTTGCACCGTCAAGCCAATCACCGCAAAAACACGCTTGTCGACTTGTGCCTTTGTATGAAGCGCTCGGGAACGAAGGGCGAGGTGGGATTCAAGTAAGAAGGGTGATTGGATTGCTTGGTGCGCTCCTGTTTGTGACCGGAGGCGGTGTCCAGATGGACTCCATTCACGGGTCAACATCGAAGACGCGATGTCAGTCACCTGTGACTGAAGCAATGATGGCCCAAAATTACTTCGCTTCGCTGACAATAATGTCATTTGTCGGTCTTGGAGCCCTTTTTTCTCTTTCTAGTTCAAGCATGACTCTAAGTCACCCACCCTGGCTGGCACCCGCTTGGTTACACGGGACAGTCGGAGGCCACGAGAAAGCAGAGGGGCACGGCGTGGATTTTGAATGATACGCTCCATTGGTCATGTCGGAGGCGATAGGAAAGAGGCGGGGGGAAGGGGAATGGAGCAGGACGGCCAATCCGAGCACAAGGCATTTTTTCTCTTGGCTGCTCGTCGTGGTGTGTTGCTCTTGATTCGCGGCAAGGCGTTGATCATTCAGACAAGATGGACACCCACGTTCAGCAAGGCCATCAGGCGGCTCGAGAGGAGGTGGAGTTGCAAAAGCGCATTGATCGTCGTGACCAAGCAAGCGACAAGTCGGGTGAGAGCCAGCCGCCCCAAACAGGGGCACGCGATTATCCCACCAACCCGCTGCCAGAGCAGCACCAGGAAAAGCCGGGCATTGAGTCCAAGCTAGAGCCACGACCTATGTTCGAAGCCCCTTTTTACAAGGGATCAGGGAAGCTTCAGGACAAGGTGGCACTGATTACTGGGGCAGACTCTGGCATTGGGCGCGCTGTGGCGGTGCTGTTTGCACGTGAAGGCGCAGACGTGGCGATTGGCTACTTGAACGAGCACGAGGATGCTCAAGAAACCAAGGACGTGGTGGAAAAAGAAGGCCGCCGAGCCATCCTCTTGCCTGGGGATGTAGCTGACCGCGGCTATGGCGAGGACGCAGTCAAGCGGGTGCTGGAGGAATATGGCCGACTGGACATTTTGGTCAACAACGCGGCTTTTCAGGAGCATGCCAACGACTTGGCCGACCTGAGCCAGGAACACTTTGATCGAACAATCAAGACCAACATCTATGGCATGTATAACATGACCAAGGCAGCTGCGCCACACCTCGCACCCCGTGGCTGCATCATCAATTCGGGATCGGTGTGCGGGATTGATGGAAGCGCCAACAAGATGGACTATGCGCTCACCAAGGGAGCCATGCACGCCTTTACGATTGCGACGGCCCAAAACCTGCTGCCGCGCAGCATTCGGGTCAATGCCGTGGCCATTGGGCCCGTGTGGACGCCGTTTAATCCGGCCGATGCGCCGGCCGAGAAGATTGAGCAGTTTGGCGCCAAGAGTCCCATGGGTCGACCAGCCCAACCGGAAGAAATCAGCCCGGCGTATGTCTACCTGGCCTCGGAGCAGATGAGCTCGTACGTGACGGGCACGGTGATGGCCGTATCCGGTGGCATGACGCACTAGAGACGTATCCGTGTCGTGGTGTGTGTGTGTCTGTGTGTCTGTGTGTGTGCCAAGTTTACCACTCAAGGTCCAATCGACTCTCCAGGTCACGCAGTGTGCCTTGTTTCCACATCCTGTGCCAAGTACACAGCGGAGCGACTAAACCCGTCAAACCCGTCAAAGCGGAGACCAGAGACCGACATCAGACAGCTGTCTGATGTCGGTTTGGGGAGGAGTAGGTGGGCCATCGAGGGGAGGTAGCGAATAAAGTCCTTCCCACACATGAAGATGCTTATGAACGCCCACTGCCACGTGTCGAACTCAACGGAGAAAATTTGCGAGAGAGGCGGCAAGAGAGAGGAAGGTGAGAGGTTCGAGAGTGGCAAGAGAGAGTCGACATTTGCTGTGCCATCCATCAACTTCATTCCTACGTGTCGGACGGTCCATCGGACTATAGCCCAGCGGACCATCGGCACGTTGCGTTGCGCCGGATTTTGCCTGAACAAGCGCTTGCGTGGCCAGTAGGACATCTTCTCCATGACATGAAAGTGTAACAAAGTGTAACCGGTGGCAGGCTACCAGCTGCCGATCAATTTTATCTGACAATGTTTTCTGATATTGACACAACATTGTGGCAGCTGAATGGCAGGTGCGCCGCTTGACGAAGCTGTGTCCCTCTGAGTATGGTGATGCTTGAGCTTTAGTCTCTGGAAGCAACTAATCTTGGAGTTATTCTCTTTGGATTCTGTTTATGACTGATAAACCTCTGCTTTTTGCACTGTTTATCAAAAGGAAGAAAATCCCTCAACAAGCGCGTCTCTGAATTACAGGAAGTACTCTTTCATTTCTCTGCACGTCGGGCACCATCCACGCTCATCTCTCTGAATATTTCTCCTCCATTGCGTACGTCTCTCGACGATCAAGCGCGCGATGGCTCGGGATCGAGGCATTTTTCCAACGCCAGCTCGAAGCGCGCGCACTGCGGCGTCCAAGTCCGTCGTTGCCTTGGAGGCAGGAGCCCGTTTGCTTGATTTGATTTTTTTTTTTCCTTGAGCGACTAATCCCTGATCAGACCCCGCCAGCCCTGTGCACTGGCACCATGAGCATCACGTAGGTCGAGGCAGCTCCCAGCTCATGGCTTGTTTGCGCTCACCCGACCTAACAACTCACACGTGCGTGGTGCGGGCGAATACGAATGGACACGGTTGGTTGACAGGATTGACGTCGACTCGGCGCTGTCGCAGCCATCGCTTGACCTGGAAAAGGATCCGGTCAAGCCAGGACTCGATGACGCTGATGTCCCAACGCTGAACGAGAGCCAGCAATCATTCATCGCCTCGACATCTCTCACGTTTCACAACCTCCGCTACTCGATCAACATTTCCAAGACGTATGCTGGCGCCCCTTATCCGCGCTTTTCTGTGCATCCCTGCCTGTTGTGTTTGCTTTTCCCGCCTGACCCTCGTTCCGTGGTCCTTTGCGTTGGGATGCAGCGAGCAGCGCGAAATCCTCCATGGCATCTCCGGTCGCTTTGGTGGCAACGGGCGCGGTGAACTGGTAGGGGTCCCGTGGCACCCCGTCCCCTTCAAATCTCCGTTCCCCTCCCCCCCTCCCCTTTGCTTTCTTTTTTTTTTTTTTTTTCTTTTTTTTTTTTTTTTTTTTTTTTTTTTTTTTTTTTTTTTTTTTTTTTCGTGGCCGATGTTGGTGCGCCATCTCATGGACGTGTGTCTGTGCCGGCTCGCCCACAGGTTGCCATCATGGGCCAATCTGGTGCTGGGAAGGTGAGTTGTACCTCTTGTCGCCTGCCCGTTTCAAGCTGTGCCACGGGAGCTTGCCCGCTTTTCTTATATCCATGGTGCTTGTTTTCCGTATTAGACGACCATGCTTAACGTCTTGGCGCAACGCTCCCAGGGCGACCCATCGGGCAGTATTCTGCTCGCCGGCAAGGAAATTTCACGAAACGCGCTTCGCTCCCAGCTCGGCTATGTCCATCAGGACGACCATCACTTCCCTGAGTTGACCGTCTTTGAGACCTTGATGGTAAGCCTCCCGTGCAATGGGCCATTGCTGACTGCCTTGCTTGAGATTGTCGCTTGACTGCTTTTAATCTTCCCCTTGGCTCATTTGGCGAGAAATTTATTTATTTTTCCCCTTTGTAACTTGTCTCATCATCATGTCTTTTAGTTTACGGCAGGCTTGTCCATGCGCGATACGCCCGACGAGGAACGCGCGAAGCGCGTGGAGCACGTCCTGCAGCTCCTTGGCCTCAGCAAGACCCGTGACACTCAAGTTGGCGTTCCATCGGGCGTTGCCGGTGAAAGTCGTGGCATTTCCGGTGGGTCCTTTGCCTTTCTGACAGCTGTCACCAGCAGCATGCGCTACCTGTTGGCCAGCCTTGCTTCGGCTGACGGCTGCGGTCTGTACATTGGAATTGCTTGCTTGTTCTTCACGCCCTGATCATTTGTTCGCAGGCGGCGAGCGCAAGCGTTTGTCCATTGCCGAGGTCATGCTGCACAAGCCTTCCATCATCTTCCTTGATGAGTACACCAGGTTTGTCATGCTTGGACCATTCGCTGCGGCCCACCGGGCTAGCTTTGTTCGAGTTCCACTCACGTTGGCCGCACGCGCGCCGCGAGTGTGATTTGTAGTGGTTTGGATAGTCCGACGGCGCTTCGCATTACAGAACTGCTCTGCCGTTTGCGCAACGCAGGCCACACAATTGTGGCCACCATCCACCAACCTTCATCGGATATCTTCTTCCTTTACGACAAGCTCTGCCTCCTATCGATGGGAAAGTGCGTTGAGAAGAACCGCCTGGTTCGCTCGGCCCTCTGATTGTGGCATGGCTCATCGCCGATGATTGTGCTCCAGGATCATTTACTTTGGCAGCCCACGCCAGTCAGTGGCCCACTTTGATCGCCTATTGCCAAAGGATCCTTGTCCCACCTATTCCAATCCAGCAGAGCATCTTGCCAAAATTACGCACCTGTCTGATCAGACTCGCGTGGAAGACCTCGAGCGCCTGATTGCCGCAGCTGATTCCCTGCCGAGCTACAAGAGTCTACTGCAGGAAATTGAGGTACGGCAGCGCTTGAACATGCCTAAACAGTGGGTCCGGCACAGACAAGGTATTTATTCACTGTCGACGCCGATGTAATGTTGTCGTGTGTCCAGGTCGAGGCCAAAACAGCTCAACCCAAGCCTCGCCGTCGCAGCAAAGGTTGGTGTGGAATGCACGATCTTGGAGCGCCTGCCCTTGCCACTCGTCTTATTATCGTCCCCTCCGCCACCCTGTGCGCTTTGTCATTTATAGAGGACCGCGAGCTGGCGAAGGAACGAAGCCCATCGGTATGACTTTTGGTCGACTGGGGATCTCGCCTTGATGGGTTGCGGCAGCGTGCGCGCGCCGCCGTGGTCTTACTTTTTGTTCTTGCTTCTGCCGAGAATAGCTGCTTTCTCAGTATTCCTGGCTCATGTGGCGCAACTGGCGGCTGCTAACGCGCAACAAGCTCAAGACGCGAGTCAAAGTCATGGTGACCATCATCCTTGCTGTCCTCTTGGGCGTCATCTGTGCGTGAATCCCACCCCGTGTCGCCGAGAGGAGACCGTCAACCCTTTGTTGGCACTCATTTTTTGTTGGTATCTCTGCCGGTGCCGTTTGGCAGACTTTCAACTTCCCCATACCTCAACGGGGTTGCAGGACCGGTCCTTCTTTCTTCTCAACACGGCCATGCTCGTGGGTGTCCGGGTGTCCATTGAGACAATTCGGTTCTTTCAGGTGGAGAAGCAAGTCGTGCTTCGCCAAGCCGAGCAGGGCATGATCACGGCAGCCCCCTATGTCACGTCACGCATCTTGACTGAGATTCCTTCCTTCATCCTTCTGCCTTTGATCTTTATCGTCATTGCCTATCCTCTCGTCGGTTTCCAGGTGGGTGTGCTTTCCGCCACACATTTAATAGGTGTCAGGTATCAGGCTTTTCGGAATAACGGCTTGAGTTGTGTACAGTTTTGGGTTGACCCGCACACCGTGTCATTCACCTCTTCTCGGTCTGATTGATATAGATGTCAGCATCTAACTTTTTTATTCACTGGGCGAGCCTCTTCTTGATCAATTTGAATGCTTATGGGTACGACATGGCGTCTAGGGTGGCAACATGCGGCTGACGGCGGCGCGCACGCATGCGCGTCACTCTCATCCTTTGGAACTTCACTTAAATTGTGTGTGTGTGTGTGTGTGTGTGTGTGTGTGTGTGTGTGTGTGTGTGTGTGTGTGTGTGTGTGTGTGTGTGTGTAGCTATGGTCTACTCATGGGCAGCTTGATCATGAGTGACGACATCCTGGCTGTGGTGGCACCCTTGATCATCTTCCCGATCATGCTGTTCTCTGGTCTGACGGCCGTCAACGTACCACCAGGCTTATCCTGGATCGAATATCTGATCTATCTTCGTTATGGCATTCTGGCCATGTTTCGCTCGGAGATTGAGGACCAGACGTTTTATTCCAGTTGTACCTACCAAGAATACACGGATAACTCAACCAAGTGCTCCATTCGGACTGGCAAAGAGGTCAGGTTTTTGTGACTTTTTTTTTTTTTCGTGTGTGTGCTTTCAGCTTGGCATGGGGTTGGAGGACCGTTCATGTGTTGGCCCAACACCTGAAACTCGTCTGGCAATCGTGTTTGTGTGCGGGCCCCACCTTTTTTTGTTCATGTTGGGTCTTGTGTTGCTCAGGTCGTAGGCGAGTACGGTATGGATTTGGTGACGCGGGGCGAGGCGTTGGCGATCATGGTGGGGCTCTTTTCTATCATGTGGATTGGGGCCTACATAGGGTTGCGCCGGGTGTTTGGAAAGCGCCAGGCGTAAAGTCTTTGAGTTTGAGTGTGTGGGCACAGGCGCGCCCACACGGCACACATCTATCCTTTGAGTCCCTCTCATGCTGCGCCCTTTGATAGCTCTTTGTTTTTTTTTTTGGCTTTTCTGTTTCTGAAGAAAGGTTGTGTGAGAGATTTACATTTCCCATGATGAAGGAAAAATTCAAACAAAATACCTGACTCAAAATCATAAAAAAAGTCACATGAAACAACTGTTGCCCCCTAACCTCATGCACAGAAGGCTTGATGCAAAGAAAGACTGAAGATGAGTATGGCTCTTAACGTGTATGGAGGAGAAGCGAGTACGGTGTCTATTTTCGTTTAACGACGTGCTTCTCTTTATCACCTCGCGTCTCGCGAGACCCGAGACTGACTCCGACTGGCTTGGTGGTGAGGCTTGTATGCAGCTGCCCTTTGCGCTGTGGGGTGGTGGGTGTTGAGGCTGTTGGTCTGTGACACCGGCGTCATGGCAAGCGACACCGGCGTCGACATTAAACCGGAGACTAGCGTCGCGGAACGCTTTATCTGCTTCACCTGCCAAAAAGAGTTTCCGACTGCCAATGACCGTGAATATCACCAACGTCAGGTAGGCCCTGCCGTTGCCCACATGGTCAAGATGTGACTCGTCGAGTGTGTTGTGGGATGTCTGGCCGTGTGTCTTTGTTGTTGTTGTGATTGTTGTTGTTGTTGTCGTGTTTGTGACTGCCTTTTTGAGGATGGAGGCCATTCGCATTCGTCCCATGAAGAAAAAAAAAAAAAAAGAAGAAAACAAGAAGAAAGGGCAGGCAGGCCGGCCGACAAGCGGAGGAGATGGGGGAAAGAACAGGGCCAGAGTTTCAACTGGCTTGACTTGTGTCGTGGTGTGCTCTCGCTCTTCGTGTTGCGTCGTCTTCCTTCTCTTTATCGCCTCGTCGTCTTGTCTTCCATCTTTTCGTTTTCTTTTTCTTTTTTCTCTTCGTTCTCGCAGTTCGGCACCATGATGAGCTCATGCACGAACCTTGGCGCGGGAATTGCATTCTACTTTGTGAGCGTAGGTACACCAGCGGACCGCTCACATTGTCATGGAGGATAGCCGCACCTTTACACTCATGCGTCACGCCGATAATAAGTTCCACTGCCCTCATCCACCGTGCACGCTTCGAACAACCAACGTCTCCAACCTACGTCGCCACGTCATGCGGCATCCCAGCTCGTCAAAAAGACGCTTCTCCCCAATTATCGACACTGTCAGCGTGATTCAAACGCCCGACGAGAACGGCAACATCATCACTCGTTTCTTTCACCCGACCACCCCACAGGCCATCTGTTTTTCGGCCATCGAAGCTGCCGCTGCTGCCGGTATTACCAGCGCCCTCCGACAGGCTACACCCCCTGGCCCTAGACGCAAGCGGCGTGGCGCCCATCAACGGGGTCGTCCTTCCTCCCAAACCAGCCATTCTGGTCAGCAGTCTGGGACCGAAGATCCTGATGATGACCCGGAAGATGCTGACATGGCTCATGAATCTGATGGGCCAGGTGAATCCAAGCCCAAAGTCGCCAAGATTTCCGATTCGGATGCTGCCTTGGCGCTCGCTTCCATGGGACAACGTCGTGAGGCGCCTGCGGCACCACCCGCTCCGCCAACTTCCACCTCTGTTCCGGCAGGGCACGTCTCAATACAGCCATCCAGTTTGCCAAGCCAGGCCATGCACGTGGCCGGTTGGCCCATGCCCTCGATGTACATGACCAGTTCACACCCACAGGCATTGCCGCAGCAGTACGATGGTGCAAAGCAGTTGACCTCCCAATCCCAGCCAAGCCTTTTGCCGCCGCAAAAGGCCTCATCATCCCTCTCTGCCGCACACTCGGCAGCACAACCTGGCCCCCATACCGCTTCCCTCATTCAAATATCGCCCACAGCGGCCCTTGCTTATCGTCAACAAGCCGGACCCCAAGTCAGTTCAAACACACTAGCCCCGACTCCACTTGATGAGATTCTTGATGGCGCAGATTCGGGTAAAAGTCTGCCCTTTGACGAGCAATGGTCCCGGCACGGCTACATGGATAAGCCCATTGAGGCTGTTTTGGGCATCACGTCTGCTGCAGAGGCAGTTGAGCTTGCTCGATGCGCAAGCTCTCCGTCGCTGTTACCACTTGTGAGCCGCCTCCTGACGCAATTCGACGCCTTGTTGGATGAAAACCTCATTTTTGCAGAGTACTGTGTCGCATCGCTGGATTACCCCGCAAGCCCTGCCTCGCTATCCGGCCGACAGCCCCTGCGCCGCGTCTCTGGGGTCGAATTTGAGCACAGCGTGAAGGTGGTGACATCATTTGTGCAATTCATTGGTGCTCTCGTGGGGCAAGATCCAGTCAAGCTGCAGTCACCCAGCTCAGATGGTATTCGCACGTCGGTCAAACGCTTGCGCCTGAGTCTCAGCCCTGATTTGCAACGAGCTGCGGACCACTTCTTTGCCTCTTTGCCTGACAGCAGCGACCCCAGGGCCAACGACCAGACTGCTCTGTCTGCTCTGCGCGAATTGCTGACCAAATTGTTTCTGTACCGGCCACACCTCTGCGACCGGCATGAAGACAATCCATTGTGGCGCTTCTTTGCACTTCGCTTTGCAAAGTCGGCCACCTTGGTCGCCAAGCCGACAGACATGCTGGCAGATGCAGAGGCCCTGCTGCACACGAGCCACACCGTTGTTTTGAATCACATCTTGAGCCAGCGTCTGGACCTAGCTTCCTTTCAAGACCAATGCCCGCGCGACCCCTTCAACTCCTGCGCCATCTTGACTGTGGAGCGCGATCGGTTGCAAGACTTTACGAAAGCCAAACGGTTACTTGTCGGTCACAAGTAACTTAATTTTTCTTTCTTTGTTCATGTGCCGTTGTCACTTGTCGGCCACAAGTAACTTGATTTCTCTTTCTTTGTTCATGTGCCGTTGTTACTTGTCGGCCACAAGTAACTTGATTTCTCTTTCTTTGTTCATTACTTGTCGGCCACAAGTAACTCCATCGTTTGTCTGTTCATGTGCCGTTCTTGTGCTCGTTGCGTTGGTGTGAGTAGCGTTATTGTTTTATAAAATTTTTGTCCGGTGTTGGTCGTTGACTATGCGGCTTGCCCTGTTCCTTCAATTCATGTGTCCGCAAAGCATTTGGCATGCAAGCCAAAGACGACCTCTGACCGATTCAAGCCGTGGAGCTGATGCAAAACGACGAAGTAAAGAAAGCATAATGTCACGCGACTTTGAGAATCACACTACGGCACAACGCAAAGATGTGTAGGGTACAGGGGCAAGCGCGTGCGTGACACATGGATACATTTGCTTGCAAGCAAAATATGGACAATGATAATCTGCTGGCCTGCGAATTGAACCTTACACAATGTTTTCATGTGTTACAAGTGTGTGCCATGTTCCACATTTGTTTACCTCAGCAAACAATTTCGAGTCGTCATGGGCTAAAAATAGATGGCGCGCATTTTTTTTCCCTGACATTTTTTTTAAAAACGAAACATGAGTCAACACGATGGCAGCCAGAGCACAGCGACCCCAGAAGAGCGTCTCGACTTGTCCGAGCAGGATCGTCTGAAGATTTGCCGTGCTTGCATGGACGAGGACCTGGATCAGGTGGTTGAGCTGTTGTCTTCTTGGACACCCGATCGCACGGTGGCGGCCCTTGCCCCCCGCAAACCAGAGGTCTGTGTCCCGGCCCTGGACAACCGGCGTCCCGCGCTCGCACGTCCGCCTTCACTCTCCCCCTCACTCCCATATACTGAAAAACGATGAATGCCAACGATGATTGTGATGTAGCTCGATGCAACGCTCGATGTCTGGGTACGGCGGCTCGCGCGCCCTGATCTGCATGACCACTGTTCCTTCCGCCAGCCGGCTTGGTTCTGACCAGTTGCGTGCGTGCTTCGAGGCATGACTAGCTGCGAAAACCAGCACTGAGCATCGCTACCGAGCTGGGCTTGACAGAGATTGTACAGCGGCTTTGTGCGGCCGGGGCCAACGTCAACGTCCAAGATGAGGTACGAAGCGTTGCACCCACAGACCCACACAGTCCTGACAATTCCGCTGATTAGGCCAACTCATGCTTTTTTTTTCCGGTGCAGCTCGGGCAGACTCCCCTGTTTGTCGCCTGCTATAACTGGGACAATGGCATCGTCCCCATCTTGCTGGACTACGGGGGTGATGTCAACCTTCCCAACAATGTGGGCTTTGCCGGATTGCATTTGCCCTGTTTGCCTTGACCACGCATGATCAGAAAAAGTAGAAATCATGGACTACCCATTCACTTGACCGCTTGTCAATTAGGATGGGGAAACACCACTGCATGCCGCTTGTGAGACGGGTCGTCCCGAGTTGATCTTGTACTTGCTGCAACACCATCCCGACGTGGATGTCCAAGACAATGTCTGTGAGCCCGGTCCAACTTGAACCCCGCATGCTTGCGGCTCTCTCCTGAGCTCACACCTCGGCTCGGGTGGCAGGAGGCCAATCGCCCACTCGACGTTTATTTCAATCGGAACTTCACCTTTGAGGCCAAGGTCCGATCATCATCAGAGTGCGGTCCGAGTTGTGTCCATCTTGCTCATCGAGCTCATCTGCTCTGTGCTGCAGATTGTTGCGGCCATTTTACAAAACAGCACTCGCCCGCATGCCTATAAGGTTGACATTGACAGCGGTACGAAGAAAGTATTGGCCGCCGTCATGCGCGATTGTCCGCCCTTATCCCTGCCTGCTTCGCACGCAGAGGCCGATCCAAACCTCCTCTTGGCACAGCAGGCCAAAGTCTGGTACCAAAGTCTGGCAGTTCTCTTCAGTGTTGGGTGGCACGCAGCGCCCCAAAGCTTCCAACTCAGCGACATGAACGATCTTTGGGCACGCAAGCAGGCCGTTCGAATTCGCCCTTGGTCATACGTGAACGACCTGCAACGCCGACTTAACTATATGTAAGCCACCGCGAGCCGAGCGTCATGAGCACCAATCATGAGCCTTGCAGTCAGTGCGAGCGCACCAAGACGTTCCCATGTCGCAGATGCATGCTGTCGAAAATCATAAAAATCAAAGGATGTCGCGCATGCCTTGGCACCATCTTCTCGACATCATTTGACGCCTGCGTGCTCGTAGGTTTAGTTTACATGTTAGTGTACAGATGAATTGATTTCAGCCCGCCCATCGTCCATGAGTTTTTTTTTTTTTTGTTTTCACAACGTAAGCATCCAAAATGGTGACAATAATTTTGTGTGATGTTTTGTGTGAGGAGAGAGCATTGAATTTTTTGTTGGGCAGGTTCATGGGTACGTGTAAGATGGAGCACACCCTTGCCAAAAGCTCCCGAGAAACCGCAACGATTGATATTGGTGTTTGGGTGTCTGGGTGTCTGGGTGTCTGGTTGTTTTGCTTTGTAGCGGGATCAGTTGGCGATGGTGACGGGCCAGCCCTGTTTCGGGCGTGCTGCTCCTTACAGCCAGAGGATGCAATGCGCTTGCTGAGGAGCTGGGACTTGCCTCGTGCGCAGGCAGCCACGGCTTACCGCAATGAGGTATGTTGCAGGGAGCACGGAAGCATGGCAGGCGGCAACCGCGTCGAAACATCACAATCGTACCACCTGCATAGGCTACAGAAGGGCCACTGCATAAAGCCTGCCAACACGATCTTCAAGGTCCAATACAAGCATTGCTGGATCTTGGCGCCGACGCTGGGGCGACAAGTGACGTGTGTTCCATGCTGGCGTTCGCCGCATGGTCGGTCAACACACAGGCTTTGCATGTCTGACGTGTGCAAAGTGCTTTTGGTTGTGTGCAGCTAGGTTATACGCCGCTCCATCTGGCTTGCCAACATGGTCGTTTGGAAGCGATCAAGGTCTTATTGAGGCATGGCGTGGATTTCAGAGCCAAGACTCATGTAGGTGCTCGGCCCCATGAAAGAGCGGCTCGTATTGGCCTGATGAGCTATGCTGCTTTTGTTGGCTCCTTGGGCTAGTAGTCTGCCGTGGCATGTTTCTCAGCTTGTGCCATGATTTCCAACCAATGACCGCTGGGCATAGCGTGGAAGCACGCCGCTGCATCTGGCTTGCCAGTGTGGGCGCGTAGATGTGGTGGAGCTTTTACTCGCTAGTGGCGCCGAAGTTGGGGCCAAAGACAAGGTGCGGCTTATGCCTCTTTGGCTGTCCACAGCTTTTCTGGGGGTGCGTACTCCTCTCACTCCGGCTGATGTTCTCAGGACGGTCGAACCCCGCTGCATTGGACATGCCCTGACGGACGCTCTGAAGCAGCTCAAATTATTTTGCAGCACGGCGCGAACCCAAATGCCCGCACCAATGTGAGCTTGGAAAAGAGTTGATTATTATTATTATTTTTTTTTCTTTTTCGTGTGGGGAGGGGGGTGTAGTCAGGATGAGCGGGAATTCCTTTTTTTATCTTTCGTGATGCAGAAGCGTTTAAAGCAAACCAGGCCGTCACCCGCTCATCCCTCCTTTTAACCAATGTATATATAGCGCGGAATGACCCCGCTCCTAGTAGTGTGTGGTTCCCGTCGGCAAAGTGTGGAGCTCGTAAAACTGCTACTTCTCCATGGCGCCGATGTGGATGCCCGTGATAACGTGGGACCCTTGATTCAGGCGGCACAGGTTGTCTTCACAAAGCATGATCTTGTTCTTACATGCACCAATGCGATGTGAATCTTAGGCCGGTCGCTGCTCAGTGCAGCTCATGACATCAGCCTACTCGGTCCAGTCGCAGGTAGGGTCTGGCACCCGGCCTGGTATGAAGGACTGGGCGTCTCAATCAACTTGCCTCTTGCCTGCTCTCGCAGATCATTGCCGAGCTTCTGCGTGTCAGTCGTTCCCCTTTCTCCTTTCAGGCCTCTCGCAAGCATGGTACGTTGGCCATGCAGGAAGCCGGTTGCTATTTGTTTTTCCTCGCTGGGGTGGCGGTTTGTCCGTGTAACCGTCTTGTTTGGTCACCATAGTCAGGATCTTGCTTCGCATCGAGCAAAGGAAATTGTGGCAGCGCGCTGCAGCAGTGCTCTATGGCGTTGGATGGAGAGTTGAGCCGAGGTACTTCCAGCAGCGCGACTTGCTGCTCCTCGCCGACAAGTGGCCCTTTATCTGTCCTTCGTGAACCAGGGCACACTTGTGCAAAACGAGTATGCACTGCACCACCAACTTCGGAAATTGAGAGCTCTCAAAGACATGGACTCTTTTGACACGGTACCCAGGATCTGATGTATTTTACTATTTTTGTGGGGGCATTTGTCAGCTTTTTTTCAATTTGAAATTCGATTCTTGTGCGACTGAACAAGCAAGCAGTGGTGGTGCTTTTGGGGTCGACGAGGGCTTGACACAGCGTCCATCGCCATGAGATCGGATGGGAAGGAGCTTCACAGTGCATGTCAATCGAGGAGTGCGCAGAGCGCGCTGTAGCTGTTGAAGAGCTGGGATGATCAGCGCATCCGATCTGCTGCTTCCTTCAAAGAGGTACGAATGGATGGTGCTCGACACGTTTGAATGATGGCATCGCTCCGCATGCGAACGAACGCCTGTCCATGTGTCAATCAACCCACAGCATGGCCGGACGCCACTCCACGTTGTCTGCTGTAACGGTTATCTGGGGCCAGCAGAAATACTGGTAAAACATGGCGCTGATGCCAACGCATGCAACGACGTCAGTGATTCCCTCTCACATGCCTGTTCCTGTAGTCCTTTCTCGAACATGATTCCAGATTCTTTCCTATTCTCATTGAAAAACAAGTTGCCTCACAGGATGGCTGGACCTCGTTCTACCTTGCCTGTGAATATGGACATGTGGACATTGTGAAGATTCTGTTGGAGCACGGCGCGGATACTGAAGCCAAAAATAAGGTGACCATCCTGTTTCTCCTCGCGCTGGCCATGCTTCCTCCTCATTCCTCCACTCGACCTTAAACAAGTTGACCTCCGCTCCTTGCCACGGCTCACCATCTTACCTTGCATGGGTTTTTCAGGATGATTTAACGGCTCTTCATGCGGCTTCTAGGCAGGGTCACCAGGATGTTGTACGCGTGCTTCTAGAGCATGGTGCAAATGCCGACGCGCTGAGCACGGTTGGTGCACCCATGTGGTCGCGATTGAACTGCTCAATCTGCCCATTGATGTCGGCTGCTGGCCTCTCAGACAAAGCAAAGCCCTCTTCATCTTCATCTCAGACTTTTTCGAGTTAACCTTAACGTAAGAAATGGCGCGACGCTCCAGTGCCGTCGCATTGGGCAGTCTCGCCGCTTCTTTTCAATATTGAAGATTGCTGCACATTAGCTGGTTGTCACGTTGCTTCGTGCCAGCTGCCGGTCTGGTCGGTACCGAAGCTGGAAGCCAGAAGGTGGGATGCGCACTCGTTTGACCACGTTCAGGCATGGCTTTCTTGCCTTGCTTACAAGTGCGCTAAACGATATGCATGCTAGTTCAAGCCGTGCTCCTGGCAGAACAGAAAAGGCTTTGCAAGACTCTGATGGCAGTACTCTTCAGTGTTGGCTGGGAAGCGGAGCCAAACGTTTTTGAGGATCGCGCGTTTCACGACTTGCATGGCATTATTAAATGTCTGTGGCAAGCCTAATCAACGTGGCCGGCCCGAGGGTTCGTACAGGAACACCAAGGCCCGCTGGCCCTTTTCGACAAGTGTGTGCCCTTCTCTTCACCTGTGGTATTGACCTTGTAGAGGCAGCCATACATTCGCTCGGCGTCATGGCCATGATGCAACCTTCAGCTTTGAGTGTTTGCATACATCTGGCAGTCGGCCAAACGTAAAAAAATTACAGGTGCCAGCGCCACGCACAATTTTGCTGCTTGCTTCGGAGTTTGTTCATGTGATCGTTTCGACTATTTTTAGACATCACTACAACAGAAACAAAAAGTTGAACATCCCACATGTTGCATTTTTCATCCTCCTTCTTCTGCTTTGACCTCTTGTTTTCTTGTTTTCCTCTTCAACATCCGTCTCGACATCGACATCAGCGGGCTTTTTTTGACTTGACTTGCCTATGTGGTGGTTGTTCGTGTTTGATCGTGCGTGCTTGCTACGGGAACATTGTGGTCGGGGCCTTGCGGCGACGGTTGGCTGAGAGCACCACAGAAGTAGTGATCTTGCCCCACAGTCGACAACGTGAAGCACACCAGTCTCGCAACTCCCAAAGAACCTCGAGGTGAGTCGTTTTCTGCACCAGGCAGGAAAGAGCAAGGCCCGCCGATCGGCTGCCTTTTTGGAAACTGCGCGTGCACGTCAAATTACAGTCCGATTTTGAGTTGTCAAATGTGTTGTACTTGGAGGGGACTCATGAGATTGGTGGTGGATAGAGAAGCAAAAAGCGGTTTTGAAGCGGATGATGAAAGAGATATACCGCTACCATGAGTGATGGTGGAGTGCAGCTGGACCAGGCGTGTTGGTCATCTGATTCACAAGAGGCGCTGCAGCTTATGACCAGTTGGGACCAACAACGTATTCGAGATGCTGCCCAATACAAAGATGAGGTACGTATGGTATGATGTTGCGTGGTATTGGTACACTTGGAATATGACGCTCGATTCGGTGACGCGATGGTATAACATATACTGCATGTTTGCATCATTTCACAGGCTGGCAGAACGCCACTACACGGGGCCTGCTATAAGGGTGATGTCAAGGTAGTCGAGATGCTGTTGAAGCACGGTGCTGATACTAAAGCCAAGAACAGGGTCAGAACAGTGCCTCCCTCTTCCTGCTTAAGCCCTTGTAATGGTACACCTGTACCACATGATGATGATGATGATGCTATACTTGTACGTCACGCTGATGATGCATCATTCCACAGGGTGGCGATACACCACTGCACCATGCCTGCGTTGAGGGTCATGTCAAGGTGGTGGAGATGCTGTTGAAGTATGGTGCTGATACTGAAGCCAAGGACAACGTCAGTACAGTGCCTTCCTCTTTCCCCCTTTTCCCCCCTATGATGGTACACCTAGAGTATCCATGTATGGTGCTGAAGATGCTGTCCCTGTACGTCATGCTGATGTATCATCCCACAGGCTGGCTGGACACCACTGCACTTTGCCTGCATAAACGGTCTCGTCAAGGTGGTAGAGATGCTGTTGCAGTACGGTGCTGATGCTGAAGCCAAGAACAACGTCAGTACAATACCTTCCTCTTCCCCCCCGTCCCTCTTGTTGCTGCTACTGCTCCCGCTGCTCGTCGCCTTTGCCCCGCCCCTCTCTCCTCTACATCCTGCCCACCCGTGCGCTTTCGTTATGCCTCTGGCTCCTTGTCTTCTTTCCCCCTATCCGTGTTCTTCCTCCGTTTTGCGTCCGCGCTTTGTCGGTGCTCCCTGTTCCCCGCCCTGTTCCCCGCTGGTCACTTCCGCTTGCCGTCCTTGCCCTCCCCTTTTCTGATCCATCCGGACACCACTTTACCAGTTGCTATCACTCCTCTGCCTCTCTCGCGCTCCAGCGGCTTTTGGTGGCCGTTTCTTCAGTTTTATCCCGCCCTTTTTTTTCCCTCCTATCTCGCATCCTTTCGGACCCCTGCTACCTGCCGACTCCAGTATACACCACTCGCACGTCTGGCGTCTTCAGCACACTTTAAAGCATTGTTACCTCGCCGGTGTTATGAGAAAGCAAATGCACATTGCCCAACTCAACCCTCGCGTGGCTGCCCACCTCACACGCTCCGATGGCTTGACTGTGACCATGTTCTCAGGATGGCAAAACGCCCCTCGATTTGAGACGTCGATATGGCGACAAGTTGGAGCCCGTGTTTGCTGCTCACGAGGCTCGCCTCGCGCAACCACCCACGCCCCCCGCTACACCCACGCCTGCACCGCCTTCCACCTGGCTGCCGCCTCTGCCCAGCTCCGCACCCACCCTCGAGGTGAGTCTGCTCCTCGCTTGATTTCCCAATGCATTTCCTGTCCCAAACCGCACGGCCTCATCCAACGTACTCACGACCAATGACACCACACAACCCCCCATTAGGCTACTGCCTCTATCGTGGTGGCAGTGGACACTTGGCTAAGGCCACTCCTACCGGAGCGCACCACCACCCATCCCCTCCCCCACCTCGATGCCTTTATCAGCGGTGCCGCCAAACAAAACCCCGATCTTGCAACGGCGGCTGCGGAGATCCAGAGGACCATCGATGAAGCGCCACCAGATTTTCCTGCCATGGACTGGACTGCCTTCCAGGCTACCACCACCCGGGCCCTTGGCGCGCTTGATCAGGCACTTGCAGCGCCCGAAGCGTTGAACAGCCGCTTAGGTCAATTGGACCTCAACTCTGACAACCTAAAATCAGTACTGCAAGAGCTGCACAATGTCACTGCTGGTTTTGAACTGCAGCCGGTGCTTCTCGAGCTTCAGACCGTGCTGGCAGCATGCCCCGCTCTACCCACCGCGTTGATAATGGCACCTAAAGCGCCACCCGCCAGCCTAAGTGCAGCCCTAGACAAAGTCGCCATGCTACGCGACGCGGGGCTCGAGCGCCAAAAACTATTCACCAGCGCCAACAGCCACCTCCAGCAGCTGACGCTGGCGCTAATTACTGCCCTGCGTGCTGTAGCAACAGCGGGAACCATCGACACGGACTATCGCCTCGACACACTCGAACAGTGTGCGCAAGGCTTGGATGTGAGCGCACCGCCTCCAGTGGAGGCATTGCATGAGGCCTGGAAGCAGCTGTGCCTAGCCCACGAAAAGCTGAGCTTGCCCGAGCAGAGCGGCTTGGAGCGACTGATCACCTGGAGAGTTGAGCACGACTATGAGCATCAAGACTGGTATCTGGCGTTTGTGCTTCACGAGGCACAAGCCCTGTTGCAGCAGTTGCATGACATGCTCGACTGGCAGACCAAGACGCTGAACGTGCTGACTTTGTGCAAAGAGTATGCCAGCGGCATCACGCAGAGCACAGATGCCCAAGCCGTACCTGCGCATGAGGAAGCGGCCGAGCTGCAGAAACAAATTCAGGCGACCACGGCAGTCTTGACTTTTGCTCCAGATGCCTTGCGCACTGGCCTTCAAGCTGACTTGGCTGCCAAGAGAGAACGTCTGCGCATTTTGCAGCAACAACTATCAGATCAAACACAGGTGGACCAGGTGGCGGCACTGGCAGAGCTGCTACACCAACACTTCCCAGCTCTGCAGGTCTTTTTGCACCCTGAGCAGAGCACGCTGGGAGCGCGCCTCTGCACAGTGCTTGGCCCCGACCTTCCAACCAGCCTGATCTTGGAGGCCATGACCGAAGTCGACCGGGCATTGTCGCTCTCCAGCCTGGGCCAGCTTGATCTTCATTACAGCCAAAATCACAAGGTGTACAAGGCCCGCGCCGCGCTGAAAGATTCTGGGGAACAAGATTTGGCCGTAAAGGAGTACGCTTTTGCTCGGCAACATAAGCAAGATCAGTGCCGGACATTCCTGCGCGAGCTTCGCGCCATGCGCCAGCTTGAGCATCCACACATTATCCCTGTCCTCGGCGCACTTGTGGATGTACACAGTGGCCACCCAAGCGCCTACCTGGTACAGCCATGGTGTGCACAGGGTGACTTGCAGCAGTGGCTCGGCAAGGCGCGCCACCTGGCCACCTCAACCGTGATTGCGGGTCTGATGACTCAGCTGCGCACCGCCCTAGCCTTTATGCATAGCAAGGGCCTGGTGCATCGGGATGTCAAGCTGAGCAATGTCATGCTGGACGGCTCGGAGGACCAGCCTGTTGTGCGGCTGGGCGATTTTGACATTGCCAAGGCCGCCGCTGAAGCCACCATGTTGCCTTGCACTGCCACCGCGTCGTCGGGCACGGCGGGCTACGTGGCACCGGAGGTGCTTTTCGGCCGGGGTCGTGTGGGAGCGCGTCCGGCACAGGATGCCTTTTCCTTTGGCTGCGTTCTCTACAACACCTACATGTACCCACAAACGGTGGCGCCGGCTCAGTCGCGAACCGATGAGGTCGTGGATCATTGCAGATGGGATTTTCAAGCGGGAGATGACGCCTTTAGCTTTCCTCATCTGGCGACCGAGGTTAGTCAAATATTTTGTTCTCTTTAATTTTATGACGCTCTGGTTGTCATCGTCGTCGTCGTCGTCGTCGTCGTCGTCGTCGTCGTCGTCGTCGTTGTTGTTGTTGTTGTTGTTGTTGTTGTTGTTGTTCACAGTTGTGTTTTTGTGCAGATGTGCGACGCAGTGAGCAATCTGTACAAGGAAACACGAGCCTTGCTTGCAACAGATCCAAAGCAACGACCAAGTCTTTTCAGTGCCGGACAAATCGTGCAGCAGCCTGCCTTTCCCCTAGCCGGGCCAGCCATTGATGTCTTGCGCGATGCGCCCGAGCTCATTTCAGAGGTGCGTTGCTTGTTAATTTTTTTTGCTCTCTTCCACGAATCATCTGATTTGAACCTACTGGTTGCTTAGGTCGGTGATCTACTGAAGCAGCTGAACACCGATGGGCGGGGACCAGCAAATATTGCAGTGCAGCGGGTAGAGCGCGTGCACAACCCCGTGCTGTGGGAGCGCTACAGCGCCAAGCGACGTGAGATGTTGCATCGTATCAAAAGTCAGGAGCACTATGGTCAACTCCAAACGGCCACATCGGATGCGCTCTCGGGCTCTCCAGCTCTGCTTCGCGATACATCCTGTCAAGAGCGTCTGTTACTCCACGGCATCGCCCCTGACACAGTGTTGCGCGACAAGATTGTGCGCCTGGGCCTTGACTATCGGTTTGCTGGCACCAGTGCTGGCCACCGATTTGGTCTTGGTGTTTACCTGGCGGACCATCCCGGCAAGGTGTGGCCGCGCTGCTTTTCAATTTTGCCTGTTCATTTGAGCTCTGTTGTACTAACCGCAGTGTATTCACATGATTCCAGAGTCATCAGTACGCTCATGCCGGACCCAATGGCGAACGAATGCTCATCATCACGCGGACACTCCTGGGCCATGCCCATACCCATCCATCACCTCCTTCTGGAGCGCTGGCGCCACCGCTCCTGCCCGATGCTTCCAACAACGAGCGGTGCGTTGGACAAAATCGACCATTTGCTGCATGTTGCCTTTGTCCACCTCCTAATCTGACCGTTTCGTTCACCGTTAAATTTCTGCAGGTTTGACTCAGTTGTTGCGACACCGCCCGGGCGGTTCCATGAGGTGATTGTGTTTGAGAATGCCCAAATCTATCCCGAGCTGGTTGTATACTATAAGGCCGATTAGGATGACCTGGACGAGTTGCTAGTTGTCTGCTTGTTCTCCCACGCATTTGGACACCCCATTGCTTTTGCGCACAAGCAGCGTCATCTACCATAGGTCTTCCCACAGACACGTCCGTAGCTGATATGTCATCCCCTGACTAACACACACCCCTTGACCTACTGAGTTGCCTCCGTTGTTTTTTTGGGGGGCATGCGTCGTCCGCGCAAACTTCGTGTACTTTGCAACGTCTTGGAGAGAGACTTTTCTAATAAGCCTGTGTTCTGTTTCTTGTCATTGTTTGTTTGTTGTGACACCTCTGACTTGCACGGATTGCACCTTCTCTGAGCGTCTCTACAGCCATTTTGATGGTGTTCTGGTCTGGTCACTGTGAATGCTTGCCAGCCGCAGCTGGTTCAATTGACGACAAGACAACACCAAATCACTTGTTCCGTCTCGACGGAAGTCTTGAATGATGACGTTGGTCATCAACCAACTGTCGGCAGCGTCCTGGGCAGCCTGATCCACACTCAAGCCCGACACTCTGGGGACACGGCCCAGCGGGCCTATGCACGCACAGCCAGTGACCATGTGCAAACCAAAATGTCGTCGCGACTGATGCATCAAGTGGCCTCGCAAGGGCCATGGCTTTTATATGTGTGCAGGTTCAACGAGCTAGCACTCACCTACACGCACATTGCCGGAGGTACGATTGGAAGCAGGCGGGCTT